TCACTACAAGTTGCTAGTTCTGCTTCACTTGTTTGCTGTATGGCTTTAATATTAAAGCAGAGATTGTATCTAATGAGCTAGGTCACGCTCATTGGAAAATGTGGAATAACACTTTTCCCCTCTAGTGCTGTGTGTCAGCTATTTATTCTCATCATGCTTTTTATTACAGTTTCTGCTATCTTTTATTCTTGCACTTGAGCTAGGGTCTGCTTTGAAAACAGTTATGAATCATCAGTCTGATGCTGTAATTCCTGTGAAGGATACTGGACTGGTAACTAAGGGCTACTGTTTAATTGCTTATGATGGGTTTTAAGCAGCGGATGTAGCCACTTTCTAGGTTCCTTCTCCTGGAGCTTGCATCGATCCATTCCTGGCTGCTAAGAGATCCTGTTCACAGCACTGGTGTTTGAACAAGGCAGGGGGTTTGGGTACCCTGACATCATTCTTGGCTGGTGTGGGAGCTCAGGTGCCATGGCCATGGAGAACGCACCTCAATAATCCTGTGACATTTTAAAACTAAGCTAGCCTTTCCTGAAATCTGGACTGATGAGTGTACTGTTGTTCAGAGTTATTGATCGATAGATGTTATGTGTTGCCTTACAAGCTCAAATCTGTCTGACCAGGAATGGGCTGCCGGAGTTTAGGGTCTTATGAAACCTCCACCATAGCTGTAACAATTTCTTTCCATGCCCTCCCTTTCCCCACTGTGGAAGGTAGGAAAGGGGTATGATGAAGCATTCCTGTGCCTCCGGAATGAGAAGCAACCAGCACCCATTAGCCTTGAATTGAGAGGAAATACAGGTGGACATTTTCCCACCTGCAGTTGGTTTAAGCTACACAGTGGAAATTAAACATTGATTCAGTGTTTAGATAAATTGTGGTGGGAAAATGTCCATTCTGGCATACAGAGTTATTATCCACAGAACTGAGAGATCTGCATCCTAGGTTTTGGGATAAGGGATACCTGAGTTGAGCAAAGGAACAGGGGTGTCATTCATCAGAGGGTTTTTTTGACCTTTGTTTTTGATTGAGGAAATTGCAGAGGATAGTAAGCAAAATAGGAAATTGTGGTATATAAAGATAAGTTTTAGTTTGTTAGGTATTTTCCTGGTTGGTTGCTTCTGAGGCATAGTCAGGTTTTTTGGTACAAGTTTGAACAGTCACTTAAGGACTCTAAATCTCTGGGATTTTAATAAAAGAATTTAAAAATAAATTACTTAAATCTGAGAGCAATCATTGCAGAGCACATATTTCCATTAATTTCAAACTGAAGCTAGTGTTATTTGTGACTTATGTAAAAAAAGACAACCATAGCAAAAAGGCCAAGTTCCTGCTACAGTTACAGTTTACTTGTGCTTTGGGTTTTTCTTCTTCAGTGCCCATTCAGACAGAAGGAATAAACATAATGAATCCAGATGTAGGTATAAATCCTGACATCTTATGCTTCCATAAAAATGTGTCAAGCTTCTCTAAGTTGAATCAGTAAGTCAGAGATAGTGGAGGCCTATGGACAAGGCTAGCTTTTCCAGCCTAAAATAGCTCTCATGCACACTCCACTTCAGAAGATGAAATAGGAATTTGCACAGTTGGGTGTCCAGTCTTGCCCACTTCCCAAGTGGACTGTGTTTTAAAACTGAAAGCAGGGCACCACCTGTACTGTTTGGCTGTTGTAATGAAGTCCCGGGAGAATGATTTCTTAGGGAATTACATGACTTGAATAACAGGCCTGGTGGGCTCTTCTACTCTCATTATATTTTTAATAGTTTTGACTATTTTTCTTGTTTACAGCTCTCCTGAGATGATATCATCCTGTGGAGCTGCTCACCTGCTATGATAAGAGATACAGAAAATAATGTAAGGGATGCATAAAGAGGGTTGAAGAAAGGTGTTATAAATGACAGTGCTCCGGTATTGTGGGTTTCAAGGATATAGTTCTTTACATCAGTGAAACGTCTGCCATCCCAGTTGTTGCTCAGACCACAGATACTGTGTCTGTGGACTTTGTAAATCAGTTGATATTTTGTACTGGGAACAGCCTGTAAAAAGGCTCGGCAATACAAATCCTGGTGACTGATTCCTCAGTTATGGAACAGCTTCCTCCAAATGCAGCACAGCAATGAAGGAAGCAGGCAGCAGTGTGAAAGTGGTGGAATCTTGATGGGCTTTTTCTGAGTGATGGTAGTAGGTGGCTTGTTTTTAGTTTTTTAATCTTAATGTTGTAATACACGATCTGTTTTTCCTGCAGCTCTGCTGGCAGTGAGGTGGTGGAAGGGTGGTCACGTCAGCTGTGGAAAAGGTGGTGGTTAGTTTATAGGGTATTTATTGATGTTTAAGCTAACAGGGCAGTGGTAGACCTGGGGAGCAGCTAGAGGTGGTGTCAACCACCAGCAGAAACAGCCTGCAGTGGGTCCTCCACAAAAAAGCACAGCCTGAGGGCGCTTGTCCCTGCATTTGCAGCAGGGATGGGGCAGTGGTAGGAACAAGTCTGCTCACCACTTTTGGTGGTGGGCAGCAGTGACTGCCTGTGTCTCACTGAGGACAAATTCTTGTGATTTCAGTAAACAGAGCTTGTCTCTGCATAGACGTTTCCTAAGAAAGAAGGCTTGTCATGATAATGGGAACGTGGCAGTGAAAGCCTGATCACTCAGTAACTTTTCTTACTTTACTTTTTGTTCCAAATTTATAATAAGCTGTTCGAAAAAAGTTTTCAACTCTCAATAGGGTTTAGTTACAGCCTTTTAAAAGAGTGGTACAGTTATCTTTGTAGCAAGTAGATAGTTGAAGTGTCTCATGTATTTACTGTATAACACTGCCTGGTGCTCTGAAGAGACTGTCATGTGAGCCAGGTAACGTTCAAAGGATATAAATGCTAGAAGCCTTCAAGAAGGTGAATTCAGGATGCTCACTGTCAAGGGTCTGTAACTGCAGTGCATAGAATGGTTCCTGAGGTTTTCCATAGCCTTGCTGATGTAGGACTCGCTCTTTTCTTGGGACCTTGGTTACTTGGAGAAGGAGCAGGAGTCCTGGTCATAGTCAATAGTAGGGGTGGGTCTAGCATTTTGTCAATGCACTCTTAAAATGGCTTTCTCTGCCAGTTCTGCATGTCCCTTTCCTCTGACCTGATGGCTGGTATTGCAGGTACCCCTAAGTACCGTATGACATGAGCCATGTGTTCCTCTCCTGGTGTTCTATAAGCAGCAAAATAATTTGGTAAAGTCACAAATTAATGCAGTGTTTTTCTAGAGCGTTTATCTGATTTATATTGCATTACATAAAGAACAGCCATTAGATGAGTCTCATCCCTTCTGTGTTAATCCAGCAGCATGAAGGCAGAGCGAGAGTGCTGCGGGTTGAGCATGAGGGCCCCATGTGTCTCTCTCTTCTTATCTGCTCTCCAATCTTTGAACTCTTACATAATACATTTAAGACTGGGTTTTGAGTAATCTCTCTTGGGGTCTCATTTTGCATTCTTAGTCTCTAGTAACAAAGAACTGCTGTGTTCTTCCTTCGTGGAAATCCTTTCCAGAAGGTGCACATTATCTACTACAAGTCAGGACGATGAGCATCAATTTCCATGGCAGAATAGAATCCTGGATTACAAATTACTATTTAATCCTTTTTGCGTCAATGGGTATAACAATCCTTGTAAAATGGGCTCTAAGTCTTGTGCTTGGCTGTGTGAGGTTAAGGCGCAAAAAACAAAACAGAGGTTCTCTTGAAAACTAAGACCTAGTGAAATGCGTGTGTTCTGCATGAATTTCAGAACATATTTATGACTACGTTTCAGAAGCTAAAAGTAAAGATGATGGGCTGGTACCTAGACTAGCAGTTTTCATTGCTCCGTATGTTTGCTACTACTCTGGGAAAATACAGCAAGTGTGTGTCTCGAGTGTTGCTTACTCAACTGCAAGAAGGAATTTAGACACAAAATAGGCATTGCTCAAATTAGATTTCTTTTGTTATCCCCCATGGATGAGAACATTTACCAAAACTAACAAATGAGGAGGTCTCTTAAGAATGTGAGAAAATCTTTCATTTTCTGAATCATCATGTTACGAGTGTCAAGCAATGTGATTTTGTAAGGGAGAAAAGGGTAAATAAGGTTGGGAGGGGTAAGGATTTAGTGTTTGAAGTTGCAGATGGTGGCTGCAGAGTTTCCTGACCACACAGCTATTTTAAGAGGGGCAAAGTTTAGTAGCTTGCAAAGTTTAGAAAATACATCCCACAGCGACCCGCCTACAGTCCTTTGACTGACATGATTATTGTAACATTGAGTATGCTGTCATTTTGTTAGATAACAAGTAAAATAGGTTAGTTGTTAGGAACCAGTAGCTTCATATGATTAGTTTATTCCATATTTTTATTACGGGTCTCTGTACTAAATCAAATGTGGCATATTGGATAGAATCAGTCCCTCCTTCTGTGAAAACTTGAAGGTAAGTGATGACATATATGCAATATTACTAATGAAACAAGCAGGGTAAGCAGTTTGTTGCTATTATTTTTAATGCAATGTACTTAGAACTTTTAACGTGTAATATTCTACTTTAATAGTCAAAATCCCAAAAAGAGAGTAGGGACAGATTAAAATCAGTCTCATAGTAAAGAACACATTTAATTACTTAGTCATATAACCATTGTTGCACAATGGGGTATTTTTGCACTAGATGCTAATTGCACGTTTCTAGTGTGACATTGCATAATGCGGTGTCCTTGCTGTCACAAACTGGTCATCTTGCAGGTGAAAACTGTGCAGTGCAGCAGCTGTTAGGAAGCCATGAAACCTTTATGTTGTAAAAGGAAAAATACTGATAGATTTTTTTTCTTTGTTTTTTTTGTTGCTTGCTTCTGTGACAAATTTACACAAAACAGGGATATTCTCTTAATGTATCTAGCTTTTGTGTTTTGGTAAATCCAGACAAAGTCAAAAGTTCGTATAAGAACCTCAATTTGCATAATTAATGCAAAATGGATAATTCTCATTTCTTTATTTGTTGCAGAAAATGGCACCTTACTGAAGAGCATAAGTCACGCTGGAAGAAGGTGACTTATGCTCTGAGCTTTAAGTGAGCAACCCCATCTTATGAGGAGAAGGATCTGTCAGCCTTCTTAGTTCTACAATGGGGACTTCAGGTGACGACATGGCTTCGGTGGAGCAGAATGCCTCCTTGAACCCTCTGTGCTTCGAGTGTGGCCAGCAGCACTGGACAAGGGAGAACCACCTCTACAACTACCAAAATGAAGTGGACGATGACTTGGTCTGCCACATTTGCCTTCAGCCCTTGTTGCAGCCATTGGACACTCCCTGTGGACACACTTTCTGTTACAAGTGCCTAAGGAACTTTCTGCAGGAGAAAGATTTCTGCCCGCTGGATCGAAAAAGACTGCATTTTAAACTCTGCAAAAAATCCAGCATTCTTGTTCATAAACTGTTAGACAAGCTGTTTGTTTTGTGCCCCTTCTCTTCCGTGTGTCAGGAAGTCATGCAGCGATGTGACCTGGCAGCCCATCTCAAAAACAGGTGAGTGGTTCAGATGCTTGCACTGCATATTCCTTACATGCTTGGTAGGCCAGTTTGTGCAGCAATAGGAATTGGAGACAGGAGGGAGGAGAGGGTTGGTAGTGGTTTTTAAATTCACAGTAAAAGACCATAGGAAATGGTCAGTCTGTAACTGTGCACAGCTAAAGCACTGGATCCCCTTTTGGACACCAGAAATAGTGTAGAAGACCTGGAGAGAGCCATGGGGAGAACATGATTCATTAGAGGTCTCAAAACCATGATTTGAATGGAAAAGTTAAAGAAAATGGGGGCTGTTTATGTGTGCTAGGAACAAATGAGATTTAGTTTAGATTTTAGGAAAAAAGGCTTTATAATGGTCTGGCGCTAGCACAGATTGCTTGGGTGGTGGCTGTATATTCCTTAATTTCGGAAGTGTGTATGAGCGTGTTAAACCAGGCTTTATCAGGAACAGTTACAGCAGAATTGATTCTGCTTTGGGGTAGGTAGATGGAGACGAGGTCTCTCTCAAGACTTCTCCAGGACCTATTTGTTTTTAAAAACTACCTTTTTACTGAACAGGGTGATTGATGGTGTGTCCTGCAAGCCTGATGTAGTTTCCAGGGGGTTTTGTTTGGTTGTTTTGACTGCTTATGGAACACTTCCAGCACCCTGTTAATCCAGTAGAAACTCATTACTTCACACCAGTGGGAATTTCTGGTGCAGCTTAAGTGAGCGTTTTTGTGTCAGAGAGATACATTACAATGCTACCCTCACCTAAATGTTCAGGACCTGATTTTGAACTGTTAATAATTTTATAGTCCTTATGATTCCTGTCCTACTCTAAATATTTAAATATTGAAAGGATGACCATATAGAAAGAGGGAAATAGGATTATTATTGTAAGGTTGGACCAGATGGTCCTGTAGTTCTCTACGCTGAAGCCACCTGACTCTTGCAGGCTCCTCATATCGTTGGGTGTAAGAGAAAAATGTGCATCAAAGCCACTCTTTTATCTTCTGCTTTTTCCTGAGTCTACTGTGATTCCCAAAGCTAGATCACTCCTAGTGCCTCCTTTTCTTTCTTTTTTTTCCTCCATTTTTTTTTTTTTTTTGCTGGAAAAATTAAAACCAAGACCCAAACACTCCACTTTCCAAAGCAGTACTGTGTTTTATTTTGCATTGCAGCTGTAAATCTTGCCAGAATTACTGCTTAAGGTCACTGCTGGCAGTTTTATGAGCAATAGCAAAGGCATTTGGGTTGCTTGTCTGCAGTCTTTGCTTAAATTCAGCTCCTGCTTGGAAAATTATTTAGTGCAACTGGTTTGAAGCTATTTGGTGTGTTTGCTTTTATCAAACCTCTAGACTGGGCAGAAGCTGATGGCGTAAGTTACAATGAAATCTTTCTTTTCAGGAGTCAGTAAGCAAATGTGTTTTTTGAGCCCCTACTGTTATTCCATGGAATATACTGTAAACTACATCTTAATTTTGTATGAAAGCTCTTTTTATCTGCAGAGAGGGATTGCTGCTGGTGTTCCAAGAAGTCAGCTTTTAAATGAGAAACCCAGCAGACTTGGCTGTAGAAAAAAAATTGAATCAAAATCCATTTTCTTCTCTGTCTGATATAGCTTAAGAGAACACAAAGGTGAAAACTTTGCTTTGTCACCATCCAGAATTGAGCAAAAGCTGGTGCTGGAGGGAGGAGAGAAGTGAGTTGATGAATATAAGGAGAGCTCATTTTACATCCCAACAACTGCCCTTTGAGTTTCCCAGTAAATAACATTTCTTGGTTGCTTTATCTGGTTGTTTCAGTATCTCTATTCTTGAGCATCTTGATTCATTAAAGAAACTAAATAATTTCTGGAAATTCTAAAAAACATTCCTGCTTTTCTTCTTGCTCCTAGCCAGGATATTCTGACTTTGTAGGTAGACATGAAATGCTGTTCCTGTAGGATACATTTCAGCCCTTTTTTATGCAATTTGTTCTATGAGAGTGAATTTCCATACCCATAAAACCAATCTTCAATACTTGTTTTGATCCCGAGATGCTCATCTGTGTACATAACCTCTTACAAGACTTAGTCCAAAATGCTCTTTATCCCAGGTATTCGGCAAAAACAGTATTAGTGAAGGTGTGAACCTTTAGGGATTTATTGGCCCTTGTTAACCGGTACAATTGCTGTATGATTTTACTGTTTGTAAGTAATAATAAAGTCCTTTTACATTGCAGTTGGAAATGAAAAATCTCCTTACAGATGTGCTAGAATGCCAGTCTGGGCTTTGCTGCTTGGTAGGAAGCATATAGGATTCTTCACTATGAGGGTGTGAGCAAGTGAAACAGGTTGCCCAGAGATGATGTGTCTGCCCCATTTCTGGAAGTGTTCAAGGCCAGGTTGGATGGGCCTTTGAGCAACCTGGTCTAGTGGAAGGTGTCCCTGCCCATGGCAGGGGGTTGGAATTAGATGATCTTTAAAGTCCCTTCCAACCCAAACCATTCTGTGATTTTGTGATTCTCTGATTTGGCATGTCCTGAATTAATGTCTCCACCAGACAACTACTTCCCTGGTGATGCAGTTGTACAATACCAAGCTAAAGTCGTAGTCTGTTGCAATTACTGGTTAAGGTGGGGAAGAATCTGGAGTTTTTTCCTTTAGTGCCTTGTAGAGCCCTGCACAAAAGGGATTCCTCTGAGCTGAGTCGGTGTGCTCAGGAGGCTGCTTACATTTCTTCATATTAGCCTTTGAAATGATAATTAAATATCATTGGCAAAAATAAGCCTCAAATCTATTTATATTTCAAGCAATGACTTTCATCAGCTGCCAGGTAACGACATGCTCTGTGAATGAGGGTGGAGGAGGACCTGGCTGTGGTTGGGAAGGCTTTGACAGAAATGGGACACTTTCAGGGCTGATTTTTGTTCCATCCTGGTTTGATGGGAGTTTAAAAAAGAACAAACCCATGGTTTGTTTTGCCATCTACAGCAGATCCTTTGGGACCCACAGGCCTTTTGAGCTGACTGAATAACAGTCAACAGCACAGTGTTTTGGTAGAAGGTATCCAAGTATCTGATTCACAGAAGTAGTCTACTAAGGCTGGACTCCGCCATTCAAGCTCAGTGGGATGAGAGCGTGGTCCTCTGACAGTGCTGGTTTTGAGCTGTTCATTCATCTCTGCTGAAAAATCACCACTCCTGTAGCAGAGCAGTTTAGGGACAGCAAGGGTGTGCATTTCTGGGAGGCTTTGTCCTAAACTCTTGTGGATCAGCGTGGGAGAGCACATCTGTCACAGCTCCCATTAGACAACGGGTTTCCTCTCCGTGAGCATTTACCCCTTGCCGTGTTGCTGCAGAGTGAAGGATGTTGGAGATTGCTCTCTTTTTTTCCCCCCTGTTGCCAGGGCTGATTTGAGGGAGTGTGAGGCTAACTCATCAAGTTAAAGCATTTCAGACATGTTGAGGGAAGGGATTTGCATCTCTCCTTTTCTTGGCCTTTTTGGGATCTTTTTTTGAGGTTTGCATTTTGAAATGGTCAATGATAAAACTTCCTGATGAGTTTCACCTCTATCTGTGTGTCTCTGCCTTTAGAGTGAATTGAGACTGGCCAGATTTCTTTGCTGATCAGTTCCACTGTGCCAGTGATCTGATGTAATAAATACTACCTGAGCAAAACCAAGACGTAGGGTTGTGTTCCATCATTGAAATAAACTTTTTCATGTCATTTTCATCTTTTGTGCTTGCACTTTCTTAATTTTGAAGAGCAAGATGACCAGCAGTGTCCTTGGAGAAAGCCCCCAAAAATGTTTTCTTAAATATGTAATGTCATAATGTGAGCTGTCCCTGATTTCTGTATTTCTACATATTCAGCACATTTGGATTGCCTAATACTATTCTTCTAAATATGTGTATCACGACTTTTAATATATCTGTATATAGCTCTCTATAGATATATCTCACTTTATGTATGTATAACACTGCTGGGGGGTCACAAAAGCCATACGGGTGTCTTTATCAACATTCTTCAGAGCTGGGTAACTTTGGTAACATTTCTTGAAAATCTCTCAAGCCAAAACAGTGTAACCATATAATTACCAAATGACCTTCACAGAATGTTAGAACAGAATTGTGATTCTCGAAACATTCATGTTTAACAAGTCAGGACATCATTAGACTTCTGCTGTCTTTTACTCTCTTAACCCATTTCTTCTCCTGTTGCAGAAATAAATCATTTCTTCTTTTGTTATGACAATCTGTCACATTCCCAAAACAGGGGGTCCTTGTCCTTTCAAGAACACGGTTCCTTTTTTCTGCTGCAGCAACAAACATCTTTAGGTGGTCAGCAGCTCCAAAGCAGGAAATTTAAGAAGGACATCAAATACTGTAAGAAGCGGAATATCAGACACTGGCAAAACTGTCACACAGGCAGAAGTAAGATTGATGCCCACATCCAATTATCTACACATAAATGTAAGACCATTCGACTAATGAAAGCTTTCCATGAATTTGCAACATTGCAGCCCTTCTTTGCAATAAACTATTGTAGGATTTTAAATGTAAGCAAAAAAATTATTGCAGTAAGAATAATGGGAACTCGTAAAAGTCAGTATATAGTGAAAAGGGCGAAATGCTGATGAAGCATTGTTACATGATGGAAAGCAAAAAATTGCACCTCCTGTATGAAGTCAGGAAGAAAAAAGGGGAGACAGGAGGAGGACAAAACACTACTGATTCAAGAGGAGATAATGAGCAGAGCGGTTATTTTTGCTAAACTTTTCATACAAACTCCTAGACAAGCATTTTTTTTCCAGTATCTTAACACTTAGATTGCAATAGAAGTAAAATTTTAATGTCTTTCTTCCCCCAAGTGATTCGAGGAAAATATGATGTTTCCTTCTCTTGGCTTACTAAAGTGAAAGGAGATTGCTTCAGTGGAACACAGTATTTGTGTCTTTGAATGGGGCTTTTTTTCTGTGAAGTTTTATGCCAGTCCCGTTTAACCTTTTTAGTGAGGCTACCTTCTAGAAACTGGAATGCCCATAACAGAGTAAATCCACATTCAGAGCGTTTTACAGCACACTGCCAAAAAACTAAGTAGTAGAAGTTTTGTGTAGAAGGCAGTATCGGTTTGGGGTTCTGTCCACTAAAACATTTCCAGTGTGTTTAATTATTTTTATGATTAGCTTAAATCTGTGGCTTTGAAGAAGACCGATGTCACTTGATGGATACTTGGACATTTTATGCTCCAAACATTGCTGTAGGTTTGAACCATGCTATTAACGCTGTCTTCACAGGTGTCCTGGGGCTTCTCATCGAAGGGTTGCTCTAGAGAGAAGGAGAACAAGCAAGCTGCAAGCAGAAGCAGAGGGTGAGAGTGGTCCTGGTGGAACGGAGCAGCCTAACAGTTTATCTCCAGATGCAGATCAGGGAATAGTGCCAGCCGAGCAGAACTTCACCTCGCCCACCCTTCCCGCATGGACAGATGAGCCCAGCATCGACAATCCGACTTTTGAGGAGAACACTGTAGCAGACAGTATGTCATCACTTATCTTCTCAAGTGTCTTATCAGATGTGGAAGCATTTGTGGTGTCAGAGCTTGTCTCTTGCCAACCGTGAATGCACATCTTCATCTTCTGCTCTTTTCTTTTGCAATTCCTGGCTAAATCTTAGTGGGTTTTGGTTATGTGCAAGTATACAACTGGGATATGAGCACAGGAAGGAAAGAAATATCTCACTGTGTGCCAGGTATTGTGTTGCTGTATCATCATTTGTCATATCATGGTGCACAAGAGTTTATGTTAATCCACCAGTATCACTGGCCTTGCAGTGAGATGGAAGGGCTGTAATTTCTATGGTGCTTTCTAAGATGAGATTTCTTTCCCCCTCTTCCCTTTTCCCCCTAACCCTGGATCATCAGCCTGCCCACACATGGAGTACTGTCCTGCTCGAGCAAAAAGGCAGCTGAGTAACTCCTGCATTTATCTACACTGAGCAAGCAGTAACATCTCTAGCAACTGGGATTTCAGAGATGAAGCGTTGAGCCTTACCACAGAGGGAGGTGGTCCTGTCCCCTTCCTTCTCCTCAGTATTTGCCATCCTTTAGTATCCACCTTTTTCCTCTTTAGTTGACTCCATGTTTTCTTCAGAAATGGGCTCCTTCCCTTAACCCAGTGACTCAACAACAGCTCCAATTGCACTTGTGAATCCGGCTGATAAAGAGGAGTGACCAAGTCACGGTCTATGGTGTAAAGCCTGACGCATATTTTTATCATTAATACCGCATGTGAATGCACAAGTGGCCCAATTGGAAATTAACTGTATGAAATTTATAATAAAGGACAGGATCCAGAGGGTTCAGAATATCTTTTCCAACCCAAATGGCCCCATTTCAGGAAGCATGGATGCTGCTTAGTCATTAGAGAGCTGTTTTGATAAGCTAAGTGTTCCAACAAGTAGTGGAACTAATATGATTGCACTTGTTTTAGTTTGTTGCTAAACCGTTGTCATGTGGCCTGTCTACATTGTCCTTTGGTGATTTGCTTTATTGAAAGTGAATGAGGTATAAAGGATATTAATCATCTTTCTTTTTAAAAATAATTGGCAGCAAATCAACAGCCACCTACCTTGCCTGAAGGAGAGATCACTACTATTGAAATTCATCGGTCCAATCCTTATATCGAATTAGGAATTAGCATAGTGGGTGGCAATGAAACGCCTTTGATCAACATTGTCATTCAGGAGGTTTATCGAGATGGGATCATTGCCAGAGATGGAAGACTTCTTGCTGGAGACCAAATACTTCAAGTATGAAACCTAATTATGTATTCTCTCTGCTTGCTTTCCATTCACTCCTTGCAGAATTGCCTGTTAAATGAGATGAGAGATTTTCCTTGTCATATGATGTTGAGTAAATGTTAGCTTTGCAATTATCAGTTGGAAGGCAAATTAATATGCAGAGCAGAGCCTTTTCTAGCACTTTTGGCTATCGTGTTTTATGCTGTATGTTGGACCAGTCCCTGGAATTAGTTTTCCTCCTCAGCATCTCTTATCAGTGTTTAAAATATGAGTTTATTTTTCTGTTGTTAAATGTTGTGGGACTTGGTCTTTATTCCAGATTTATGCATTCTTTCTGTAGGAACCCAAGGTTACTTCTGGCTAATAAGTTGGCATAACTTGTGCTATGTAGAAAGCAATTTGTGGATTGTAAGGCTGACTTCATCTAAACTCTTATTTTAATCTGGCTTCGCTGTTACCTTCCAGTACCCTAAGCAGCTGATCTGCATTTTCAGTGTGTGTGAAAGAGTCCCTGATACTCTTTTCTGGCATGATCTAATGTGAGTGCTTTAAATATTTTTCAGCCCTCTACCCCAAACAATTAAAATTTAAGCTGGCTATGCTTGAGTGTGTATTTTGGCTATGATTTTATATAATTAGCCCCAGGCAGTGTAAAAAGATCAAATTATATTAATTTTGGAGTTTTAATTTTGTATTAGGGGAAAACGTCGCGCATAGGACTCTTAAGAATAGCAGTAACTGAGTTCTACATAAACAAGACATTCCTCCAGCTTTTTCCTATTTTAATCATTCTACCTGAAACAAAAATATTACCATCATTTCAAAATTACTTCAATAACAGTGTTTGCTTTTGATCTCATAGTCTAAGATCAGTCCAAAAGTAGTATCAGCCTTTTTCATTTCACTTTCTTGAAGTGAAGCCAATAGAAGTAGCTTAAATGTTGTAGTTACCCTTAGAATGAAATAAGTTTGCACTTCAGAAAATAAAGTCCCTTTTGAGAAATTGTGCCTTTTTCCTCTGTTGGAGTGTTAGCGTAGGGGCTGGCTGAGAAAGCAAGAGGTTTCAAAAATGCTGCCTTTTTAACAATCAGTTGCAGACAGTGAATGCTACCTAATTTATTCTGATATTCAGGTGCTCTCCTTGGTTGCCAGAAAACAGGGAGATTGAGCTCCAGTGAAGCTTTGGAAGGTCTTGCTGTTTGGGCAGGTGTCAGTTATAGTTTCCAAAGCCGTAAGTGGCAATAAATGGGTATGAATGGGATTTATAAGCTGCAGTGTCTTCTCTATCAGTGTGCTGGCATTGGGGCTGTCAGATGCTAGGGTAGTATCCATGAGAGTCTTTCAGTCACACCATGGGAGGGGTTCAGGAGGTAACAGCCAACCTTTTTGGAAGATACAACATCTTTATTGCTTTAAATTTACCTGTGCAGGTGCTGAACTGTTGTGTTAAAATGCCCAGGCTCGGTCTCTGCCAGCTGTAATTAAGTGCAGAGTTCAGTGCAGCTCAGCGTGCACACTCCAGTCAGATATTTCTGCAAATGTCTTCGAAGGCTTTTATGAGCAGCGAAGAACTAAAAGAAAGCCAGAAAGGTCTGCTAGGTGAAACTCAGCATTTTCTTGCCCAGTCAAACAGGAAGTATTGCCCTTCTAAGATTTGAAGGAACATCATTTAGTAACAGCTACTTAAAGGCGCATGTTGTCTGCAGGGTATAGATAGGTGCCTGATATTTTCAAAATGGTCTACAGATTGTCCCTTTTTTGTGCTAAACTGTGACTGTAATTCATGCAAAATATGTCCTAATGAGAATCTCCTTCCCCCAGAAATGCTAAGGCTGTTCTATTATGAAATTGTTAACTGCCTTGTAGACAGAAGAATTACGTATTATCACATATATTCTTCTGTGCCCTTTGAATGCTTCCGTATTCTACGTATTTACTTTATCTAGCTAAAGTATAAGTAATAAAAGTAAGAAAGTATAATAAGTATAGCTAAAAATAAAACTAGATTTAATTTAAGGGCTCTTGACGGATGAGTCCTAGTTGGTTTTGCAGGTGGCAGCTCTAAATGTTATTTCTCCTAGCTGTGCCTCTTCTTCCTCTGCACAAGGTTACAACCTGTCTCAGGGCAATAGCAGACCAGGATATGGCCATGGTTTGGTGTGTGAGCTCACAGTGCTGCTTGGAGTAGCAGCTTTGTACTGGTGTTGGGCTGGAGGTGGCTCAGCAAAGGTGCAACAACCCCTTCACCGAGCTGAAACCACCATGGCTTTATGGTTTGACATTGATCTCTCGGAGCTCCTCCAGTCAGATATGTGATATAAATGTGGTGGCTGTTGTACATAGATCAGGTCCTTTCCCTTCCTATTTTTTTAAGTGTTAATATTGCTATTGTATGGTGGGAAGCTGCAAGTTTCTATTTTAACTGAGGTTGCACTGCAGAGCATGAAAAGACTTAGCTGAGGCAGGTCAGTATAGTTGATCTGGTGTTAGTTTCTCTCTGCTGAAATTACGGGGCACGGGTTCCTCCATCAGGGCACAACAGTACATGCTAAGGATGAAGTTGTACTGTTGACTTTAAACCCCATCTTATGAAACAAGGCAAACACTGTGCTGGGTTTTGTGGTTTTCCTGTTTTCTGCCAAATCTCATTGCACTGTCAATTTTTATCTTTATAGCACAAGAAATGACTGAAAATTACTGATCTTGGTATCAGTTGGTGATGTAACAAATACAGTAGGGTAATAGGGAGGGAAAGTTTAATCTGTTTTTCATTTACAACTGAATTTTGAGTGATAACAGGTTATAAGTCTGAAGCTGACCTAGTTGAAGTCAGTGAAAAATGTCCTAATTTCATGCTAAGACTTGAGAACTTGTACAACCTTTTTTTTTTTCATTGAAATAGAATATTGAAATAGAATTGAATAATGAACAAATTTCATTATTTTGGATTTCAAGCTGTTTGGTTTTTTTTAATTTTTCACATCATGGAAGTACTGCATATTGTTAGACATAGGCTTTCTTCAGAGATTTTGATGTATTCTTTTTATGGCTATTATTTTAAAGTGATGCTGGGCTTGATACTGAAAGCCCATACGAAGTTCTTGTCATGGAGAACAAACAACATAAAGATCTAAGGAAAGCAAGTGTAGGAGACCAGGAGAACAAAAAACCCTAGAGTGTGATGACAGAAGGTGTTGACTTAGAGAGATGTCACCTTTGTGGGAAAAAGCCTCAAGTTGCACCGGGGAGGTTTAGATTGGATGTTAGGAAAAACTTCTTTACCAAAAGGATTGTTGAGCATTGGAACAGGCTGCCTAGGGAAGTGGTGGAGTCACCATCCCTGGAGGTATTTAAAAGACACGGTGCTTAGGGACATGGCTTAGGGGTGAATTTGGAAGTGCTGGGTTAATAGTTAGACTCGGTGATCTCAAGGATCTTTTCAAATCTAAAGGTAGGCTTGTAGTTTGAGCAGCCAAAGTGGGTTTGCAGGAGACGATGGAATGCTGAGAGAGGAAGCTTGGTAGGGTCAGATATGTAGGTTGCTCTACGGCTGGTTTTGCAGTGAGCTCTGAATTTAGTTTGGAGAGGGTGTAGCCAGGAACAATTAAACACGTGAAAATATCATTCCAGTTTCATTGTTGTTGTTGCTTTTCAGGTCAACAGCTTTGACATAAGCAATGTGTCCCACAACCACGCTCGAGCTGTGCTCTCCCAGCCATGCTCAGTGCTGCACCTCACTGTGCTGCGAGAGAGGCGGTATGGGAGCCGCACACACAACCATGCGGACACCACCAGCTCCCTGCGGGAAGACAGCTTTCAAGTGACGCTGCACAAGCGCGACTCCAGTGAGCAGCTTGGCATTAAACTTGTGCGCAGAACAGATGAGCCAGGGGTCTTTATTCTTGACCTTTTGGAAGGGGGGTTGGCTGCCCAAGATGGCAGGCTCTGCAGCAACGACCGTGTACTTGCAATTAATGGACATGACTTGAAGCACGGGACACCTGAGCTTGCTGCTCAGGTTATACAGGTAATTTGTATTCCCTACCTGAGTCCTTAGCTCAGCTTTATTTCTCGGGCAAAGCCTGGGGTAGAGGCTGTCCAGACATAACAGCTTGTGTAATGCCTAAAAGCCTGCAGCGATGCAATTTGCTGTGATTTATGTTCTGGAAATAATAGTGCAAAACAGGGCCTGCTTTGGCACCTAGCAGAATGAACTTTACCTCCTCAGAAATGAAAAGTGCTTTAGTCTTCCCTGGAATACAGCTTGAAGGTTAAAAGACTGATCTTTTGAGCAAGGAGTTACTACAAGCAAGCATATAGCCTATTGCTTAGCAGAAAAGAGGGAAAAAAAAAGGATTATTATATGTATAAATCATAGCTTAAGTCTCTCAGTAAGCTCTATAAAAGTGGGCTTTGTTTTGTATTGATTTGCCTGTGCCTGGAATTGGGGTTAAAACAGGGAAGTGATTTGTCAGACTTCATAGAGGCAAATAGATAGCGGCTGGGAAGGAAAAAAATAGGTCTTACATGAGTCCTGTGCAGTAAAACTCATTTTCTGAGTGTTCAAGAAAGGGCTGTTCCCAATGTCTGACTCCGAACTGGACACAAATATTACCCAAAGGTTGATGCATTGTGACATATGACCCTTCTCTGTTCCCACAGGAAAACCTTAACTCCATGCCTTTCTCACAGTCTGTAAGAAAACAGCTGCAGCCCATTGCCGCTTTCTGCTGATGAGATGTTGGTGAAAATTGCTGTGGTTTTAGGAAAGTTGGAATAGACCAGTAGTGGGTTCTTGCAGTCTAGTTGAGTTATCTTTGCTTAGGCCATCATCATATAGAGAACTGCAGTGCAAATGAGTAGTAAATATTTGTTTCAGGAATCAATTCAGTAACTTCCCTTGCAGTTAAAGGAAAATAACAACAGCCTTGAGAACTGTAATTTCTGTTTCCCAGTTTTTTGATAAAGTGGTCAGATTTTTATACTGGGTGACTTTTATCTATTGAGGCATGGTTTTGCAGCAATAGAAAGAATTGATATTTTGTTTAACATCTGGTAACTGAGTCTCCTGATACTCCCCTAACTCCAGAATCTAATAGTCTGCTCTTGTATGACATCTTTCTTGGAAGTCTCTTAAGGAAGTACCAGAGGTGTTCAGAGCTTTTGACCAAAATCTGAAGACTCTGGAAATTTCCGACATATTTCACTACCTATTTTCCTCTCTCTCTGCTAATAATCAATATCCCGTCTTGCTAATTACTTTGCTTTATGTATTCGACAGGCTAGTGGGGAGAGAGTGAACTTGATCATCTCTAGACCCCTGAAGTCACAGACAGTCAGTATTATCCGAGACACCACAACTCACAACAGCAACCCACACCAACACCAGTCCCAGCAGCAGTTTCACAGCCGACCTAACTCACATAAGGTTGGTGTTTCTCCTTCTAAGAGGTATAAATATCATTTTACTTACATTATAGTCTAAGTGTGTAGTGAGGTAAGATTGGAAGAAAGGGATTTATCTTCTTTTTTACATACTTTCTTTTTAAAAAAGAAAGGCAGGCAACTCCTGTGCAATGGTTTTTCATTGTTTTTCTGGATTTGCTGACTGCAGTGAAAGAAGCAAGTTCTCTGAGCTCATACAGCTGTAACTGTCTAAATGGCTCATGTGTTACTGCTGCATGGGAGAGCTGTCATTCAAGGATGTTATTTTTTTTGTTGCTGCTATTGCTGGCTGCAACCAGTAAGGACTTTAAAATGGTCTCTCTTTGTCATCATGAAAACACATGTATTTTAATTTCTCAGGAGCTTCTTTGTAGTTCTAGGCCGTAATAAATGAGGTAATGCTGATGTTCACTGAGACATCAAAAGATTTGGTGCTGTTTTGTGTCTAATCTTTTGACCATGTGGTTTTGTAGAGCAGTCGTAGAATTTAGCTTGTTCCAGTGTAGGATGCTGAGAGAAACTGGAGTGAAATTTTCAGCATGGGCCTTCATAAACTTTCTGACTATATTTAAGTATTTACATGAATGGCTTGTTTTGGTTTGGGCTTTTTTTTTTCCCTGACCTGGAGGAAATCCAGCCAAAGCTGATTTGCACTACTTAGTGCTTTTAAACCATTTTGTTGAAGTGCCTAAGTATAGCATTGGGGTGTATTTAGTTATGTTTTCTGGTTTTTCTTTAAGTTTAACGATGTTATTTATCCTTGTCAAACAGGATCTTTCCCAGTGCGTTACATGCCAAGAAAAGCACATTACTGTGAAAAAAGAGCCGCATGAATCCCTGGGAATGACAGTGGCAGGAGGCAGAGGCAGCAAAAGTGGTGAACTGCCCATCTTCGTGACAAGCGTACAGCCTCACGGGTGCTTGGCAAGAGACGGCAGGATTAAACGAGGTGGGGCCTGGCTTCCCTGCGGCACGGCACGGGTGGCCTCTGATTGCTTGTTGAATAATAGGGTCTCTGGAGTTGGGTGGTGTCAAAAAGTCGTCTCGCAGATGTAAGGAAGCATCCACAGATGGATGCTTTTCTTTATGTTTCAATAATGGAAATACACTATTTAGTATCACACTTCCACCTTTTCTAGGAAAGGGATGTTTAGAGAACGATAGCAGGGGAAGCGGATGAGACCAGGAAATGTCTGGTTAAATTCTTTAAAGCTGACGGTAATCCCCTGAGCTGAGGGTCTGGTGTGATGCTTTGTACTGTATAGTACATGCATCCTGTTTTTGTGTTTACTTGGGTGGGCTGGGCCCCAGTTCTGCCTGAAGAATCTCTGCTCCTCAGTATAATATCTAAACAGGAGAGATGCTCTGATGACAGGCTGCAGCTCACCCACGCTAAGTTTACCCTGAGAGCTACGTCAGTGTTCATCTTGGTTCATAAATGCTTTCTTATCCTCTGGGGCAGCTTGGGTTTGCCAGTCTTCCTGGGTGCTATAGCACCCGTCCTTGTTCCTCAGCTTTGCAGAAGGAAACGGGGAGGTGGAGATTAGACTTAGTGTAGATGAAGGCAGGCCTGCCTGTTTGACAGCAAAGGATTTGATGATTAAAACATAGGGAAAACAAAGACTGCCTATGGATCTCTGCAGTTCAGGGTTCACAGAATTACAGATTGTTTTAGGACAGAAATTTAGGAAAAGAATTTCACAGATTGCAAGTTTAAAAAGAACAATGTGGGAGCATACTTACATGCTTCTGAGAGAGGGAGATTTACACCCACATACCAGTGGGTATGCTCTTTCTGTACTACTATGAAATGCAAACTCGAGAGAAGAATCACAATTGCTCTTGCATTGTATAACACTAAAGCAGCCATAGCAGCAACAAAAGTAATTTCAAGTTAAGCTGCACCTCAACTTTAGCTTTCCTTGGGAGGAAAAAAGCTTTTCAAATATGAGTCTCATTCCAAATGTGACCCAGGCATTTGCACTTCTGCTTTTATCAGTAGGTGAGGCATTGTGTGAAAGAGAAGGCTGTCACTGCTTGGGCAGTAAATAAAATCCTTGTTTTCATCCTGAGGCTTTTAAAAATATTCTGAAATAAAATACAAATTGTGGCAGTTTTTTTAGTGGCTTTGACTTTTCCCAGATTATCTTTGTAGGGATGCTGTTTCTTTCTTCTAATGGACTGGGTTTTGTACCAGTCTTTCCAGTAAGTTTTTTAATTCCTTTTTGTTCTTCTGAGTAACAGCTTAGAAAAAGCAGAAGATATAGAACACTCTGTGGAGCCTCACTTACCTACAGGAGTTGGTTACTTTGAGGTGCATGTACTGTTCTTTCCAAAATTTTTCCTTTCTTTTAAAGTTAGGGTGGACCTAAGATCCACCACTGGAAGTCATTATGCAGTGGCACCTGCAATAGCAGTTGCAGCTGAGATGATGAGGTGTTTAGGTAATTTCTGTCTCAAATTTTCAAGGTGATATACCATAGAAGTCACAGCATTTGATGTGTTATGTGGAAATAAATGATACTGATCCAACTTAGTAGTTCAGTACATTAAACTTTCAAACTGGCAGTGTAAGGTATTCACATTCCCAGGCTTTTAGTACAGACTGCCTCAGCTCCAAAAAATACAGTATCAAATGAAACTCTGATGTGGGAGGTGCTGTTGGTAAAAAGGACTCTGACAGGCTGATTGTTATGTTCTCACTTGCTCCTTTGAACAGGTGATGTGCTGTTGGACATCAATGGCATTGATTTGACTAACCTAAGTCACAGCGAGGCAGTGGCCATGCTGAAAGCTAGTGCTGCTTCTTCAGTAGTCGCCCTGAAAGCCCTGGAAGTCCAGATTGTAGAAGAACAGCCCCAGGCTAATGAAGAGCAATTGAGTACCATCAGTGAAAATGAATATGATGCCAGCTGGTCGCCATCGTGGGTCATGTGGCTGGGACTGCCAAGGTACAGAATTGATTGATAAAGTAATTAGTTCCCTGTTGTAAGTTAAGTCCAAGATACAAAAGCATAGAACTTGTTAGTTGCAGCACATTTGCCTTTAGTTCTGCCTGCCTGACAGTCTCATAGAATCATAGACTGGTTTGGTTTGGAAGGGACCTTAAAGATCGTCTATTTCTAACCTCCCCTGCCATGGGCAGGGACACCTTCCTACTTGTTTGGCGGTGTGTTTACTAAGTGTACTATGAGCAGGAGCAATGTATCTGTAGGAAACTGGAAGTTAATAGACGAGTTTCTCCCTTCACTAACCTTAGTAACTAACCGTGTGGATTCTTCTCATTGAACACCAGCCATCTTTTCTTGTTTAACCGTAATTTTCTGTAGAATATCTAAAACCAAACAGATTGTTAATAAAACCAAAGTGTAAACCCACGTGTCTCTCTGCTTACCTAAATTTGCAAGGCCAAGTGTATAACCTTAGGATGGATCAGACTTGTCATTCTGATGGACTCTTGAGATGGGTCTCTTACAAATTCCCATGGGTTTTTTTCAAGAACCCATTACCATCTCTGCCAAATACAAAATCTCTTCAAGATTTGCAGTGAGCTCCCTCCCCTTCACTAATGTTCAGTCTGCAGGACATCACAATGTTTAATTTTTACTCTTCTATTTTTCACACTCTTGTGGCTACAGCTATAAGCTTATTCCAGCATTGCTTGCTATCCAGAAGAGTTCCCACTACAGCAAGGAGTGTAGTTGACTTCAGTCAAGGTGTGCAGGTTAATTCCTCCCTCTCTGATAGAGCTACCAAGGCTCAGTTCTGTAGTTGAAGTATAAAGCCACAATAAGAACCGGGCATATTGGTAGCAGAATGCAGTTGAAGGTAAGAGAACCATGTATTGGCCCTCCAAAGATTTCACACTTTTGCTATCAATTTTGCTATCAATTAATTTCTCTTCCACTCAAATATTAATGAGTTACCTAATTTCAGTAAACAGCTCAGTTTTGGTAAATGTACTTCCTTTCCATGCTTCAACAGTGGCCTATTGCTTATATATTACAGATGCTCATGTGCGGCTCCTAAAGTTATGCTATCCGTTGTGCTGAATTCTTTAGAGGAGTGTTGTACTTCAGTAAAGAACTTGGCATCTTTTTTACCCTAAAATTATTGTCTAGGATGTTTTGTTTTTAATTACAGTCATTGCCAACTTATTTGACAGGAATTAATTTTCACTGCAGGAGATAACATATACCAGTACAGTTGATGAAGCATGAACCGCACTGTATACATTCTGTGTAATAAAATGGTTAAGCATTTATATTTCCCTTACTGGAGATGCATCAGTTCAGAGGTAGCAAATGTGATGCGTGAATGTTTAGATCATTACTTAAAGTAGAAAAAGCCTAAACTGAGTGGGTGTGGAAGAAAAACACACTGCATTTTTGGCTTGGAAACTAAACACATCAGGTATCTGTCTTTCACCCACATTCTTGCCACCTATGAAATCCTTGAAATGTCATTCCATTACTGTCAGATTACAGAGTTAACTGTGTTGTAATTATCCTAGCACTGCATTATTTCTTTTAAACCACTTTTATGTCTCAAGATTGTAGGGGTTTTTTGGTATTCGGTTTAAATATAGTGAAATTACTCTGGGAACAGAAGTCTAATCACCATTCCTCCTCGTCTCTTCCATGCTTGGCACAGTGGTAATGATGAGACAGCAGGTGTTGTGCCTACTACAGAAATATCTATATGTGCTATACATGGCTTTTTCTCTTGCTATCCTGTGCTTCCATTCCACAGCTGCCTCCATAGCTGCCATGACGTGGTACTGCGGCGGAGCAATTTAGGGAGCTGGGGTTTCAGCATCGTTGGTGGCTATGAGGAGAACCACACAAACCAGCCTTTCTTCATTAAAACCATTGTTCTTGGAACTCCTGCATACTTTGATGGAAGATTAAAGTAAGCTAAAATAATAGTAGTAATAGTAATAATAATCAACACTTAAATAGTGATGGGGTACTGCAATTAGTTGCTTAAGGAAATACACTGCAGCATGTTGCATCTCATTAGTGCTTGGCCTCTTCTTTAGGCCAAGGGACATTGCATAATGTGCAGAACTGGCTAGTTTGTAACGTTTTTGTCTTCCTAGAGAACAGCTGAAAGGACAGAACTATAAAGTGGGGAAAACTGCTTTATTCTTTTAGATAGCCTTCTGAAGCCACTGCTGGAAACTGGTGCTAATTGCTAATGGAAGGGCAAGAAAGTAGATGAAAAAGACCTTTGAAAAGGTCTTTAAGAAAACAAGTCCCCATGCCAGTACCCTGAGAGTCATTAATTGCAGGGAAGACAATGAAAAATGAGGCACATTCATGAGGCAAGTTCAGCAAAGGCTCCTGAGATGGTGGGAGCTGGAGCATCTGCTCCATGAAGAGAGGGCTTTGAGGGCAATTTACAGCCCCTTCCAGACCTGCAAGAAGATGGCCAAGGAAATAGAGCCGAGACTTTTCACAGTGCTGTGGGGCAAAAAGCAACAGTGGGCACATGTTGAACAAAAGAGATAGAGATTGGTTATAAGGAGAAACTATTTCTCCATGAGGGTGGTCAGGCAGTGGCACAAGTTGTATGGCCTCTGCTCTTGGAGGTTCCTTCGACCAGAGTGGACAAAGCTCTGAGAGACCTGGTCAGGTCTCATAGCTGACCTTGCTTTGAGCAGAAGGTGGGACCATAGACTTCCTGAGGTCCCTCCTGACCTTAAAGATTATATGATTTTACTTACATATTGTATTTGGATGCAACCCTCAGGTCTAGTATTCAAATACGCAACTTAGCCTCTTGTAGGATGACCTACAATTTCTATTGTAGGATTGTATTCCTATTGTATTGCTAAGATGTTCTCTTACTCATTTTTTTGGTGAAGGTGGTAGTAAAGAATATGCAACTTGAAGTTTTATGGCATGATTTTTACACATAAATTTACTTACAAAGTAATTTAAGCAAAAAATATACTTATGCCTAGAGCCTTGACAGTAATTGATTTTTCAGTTCAATGACTAAGTAAATAAATGAAGAAATAGCTTGGCTGAATAGAGAATTACATTTCTTTTGCCAACTATAGAACAGTTTGGCTTAATTTAAAGATCTCAGTTCAACCCAAAGTAAATAATTTCAGATGGGGGACTTAATAACTAGGAGTCTTCAAACAAATGGAAATTCAGCATCATTCTTAAGCAGGGGGGAAGAGTGGCTGTGGTCACACTTATCCCCTTGTAAGGAATGGAGAAGAGGCTCTTGTGTGATGTTTGAATATTCTGAATCACTGAGAATATGGACTTAAAAATGGGCCATCAGCAAGGGAGAGCTCATTAAAGCCTGCACCATGAGTTATTGTGGGGTAGATCTTTTTGAAGCTGTTCTATTTTGTTTAAATTATCTAAATATTTTGTTAGGCTAGGGAGGAAAGAAGTAAATAGTATCACAGTTCTATAGTTAAGATGGTTTTCTGACATGAAATGATATGTCTGGTGTGGTTTTATAGAAGATGAAATTACTTCAGCAGAAAGGCTGGGTGAGTGAGACCCCACTCAGTCAACTATAGCATTGTGGTTTGGCTGAGGGGTACCTTCTTTTAGGCAGAGAAGGCCTTCAGAATGCACATTTGACTGGTGTTGGTCACACGGACTCTTCTTCCTCTGCCTTAGTGGAGGGCACCAGGAAAGCATCACTTTGCCATCCATTTTGGTGCTGCCAATAGCTGGGAGGATCACTTTCTGGAGGAGCCCTGTGTGATCTCCAGGGGTGTGTTTGGCTGCTCTGGTGGGTGCCACACACTCAAGTCACAGAAAGGAGATGCTTGGAGACAGGGCATGGTCAGTATAGGAAGGTGCTTTTTTGAAGTTTCTCTTGAGCTTGTAAAAACTGGAACTTAACCCTTTGAGGTCAGTTTTCTCAAGGCTGACAAACAGCATCCTCCCAAGTTTCTGCTCCCTGCTTCAAAACACAGAGATGCTACAGCTGCTCAGTTGAACCATCTGCTGAGGGCGGTTTCAAGCTAAATGGTTATGTTTGACAAAATTGTAAGCCCCTGAAAACAAGGTTTTCAGTTGGTAACCGTAAGTATCTTTAGTTACACCTCCTACACTGAAGGCATGCTTGGTGTAAATGTGTTATAATCCACACAAACAAACAGAAATGGTTCTGTCATGCACATGCTATCTCATTATCTTCTCTTGACTCCATTAGATCTTTCCGAATCTCTCTTTTCATGTTTCTATACAGGTTAGCTCTTAATGCAGAACTATCTTTGTATTAGAATTGAAGTGTGGTGATTTGGGAATTTCCCAGATGAATCTCAGTAGTAAAACAGACTTAAAATTGAACCTCTTCGTGTTTCAGCTGATGCAAAACTGTCACCCCAGCAATGAACTGTTTGTTGGTGTGTACTGGTTACTGCAGAGCAGTAGTCATAATTTGGTTTTCTTCTTCTTGTGTTTTTTAGGTGTGGCGATATGATTGTTGCTGTAAATGGACTATCCACAGTTGGAATGAGCCATTCTGCACTTGTTCCCATGCTGAAGGAGCAGAGGAACAAAGTAACTTTAACAGTGATTTGTTGGCCTGGAAGCCTCATATAGAGTTGCAAATCACTTCGGTTCAAGCAGCATCTTTTTCTAGATAGCTGGCACAAAAATCTCTTCTATCTTCTTTTTCCCTATTGATACAGCTGGTTATAAGCAGGGCCAAAACTGCTGTATTTTCTTTTTTCTTACAGGCCTCTCAGACTTGCTCTGTATATCTTTCCATCCTGAAATAGCCATTTCTGTTTGCTATATATCTATTGCTGACGCAAATGCAAATATACATGAGCCCACAGAGAAACTCCCACTCTGATATGGTTGCCATTGAGCTTTCCCCATCAGGCTTGTAAAATTAGCAGAAGAACTTAGTGGTTCTTTGGGTTTCTCTGTGCAGTCCTCAAGTTATATGTGGTATATAAACATAATAGCCATGTGCCCATTCTTCCCTGCAAAAAGAACATGTGTCAGTACCAGAACGACGCGTCTATCTGCTGCTCTGAATCAAAATCTGTTTCCAGAGGTACGTCTCTTCATTGCGTAAGCTTTTCCAATTTTGATTCAGTATTTCAGACTGATTCATGCAATCCATCTTACTCACCAGAAATCACTTGGTCCCCCAGATTTTTCATGCAGGGCATCAGTGTTCATAGAAAAGTAGGACAAAAGCCTGATATTACTGGAATTTTTATAAAGTGCAATAACTGGACTCTTTGCTAGGAAACTTTAATATATTACAGAGTTTGTATCCTATAGTGGCAAGAAATATGGAAGTAATTACTGTTGCAACGCTGGCAAGAATACACATGCCCGAGGTCGCCTTTGAGTGAGTGGCTTGCAGTATTAGACTTTACTTTACAAATGAATGTTTTGCTATGTCAGAGAATTTTGATGAACATTTTTACAAAGATCATTTTTACCGTTTCTATTGTAGTTGTCAACTCCCTTTGTTCATGTGTGGAAAAAATACTTTGACTTGTACTTTCTAAATGAGAGAATTATTTCCAGGGAAAAAGCAAGCTGTTAAGAAACCATACACTATGGTTTACAAGTGGGCAGGCTAAAAGGAAGGCTCTTTGAATTCAAGTCCAAGTGCAAAGCAAGCTGCAAAGTTCGCGCTTACTCTGTCACCTCCCGGCAAATGTGCAAATGCCTAGATACCAAATGCTGAAACCATCTCTCTTGCATTTCAGAATATTATTTTAATTTCCTTTAGAGAGCACCTGCTATTAAGTTGTCAGTAGAGTAATACTGTTTCTCTTGGATTGTAGTTAGTATTTTTACAAGCCAACCTGTAACTTCTAGACTTTGCCTTTCCATGATATTTGTAGGCTAAGCACCCATTTGTTTAAGAAAAGAGGGGTGGAGCACAGAAGGAAATGTGCTGACCTGGAGCTAACCCTGTGTGTTGTCAGTGTTCTGCAAATTTGAAAAAGAGCTTCATTTATAAAGCAGGTTCCCAACCTGAACTGATTTTATGAATGACTATGTATTGTAGTATTCATTACCAGAGAATGTATTTGAGAATCACAGCATATTTCAGTTGCGAAGCATGAACTTTATGTTCCAACTTAGCTGGTATAATGTCAGGGCATATTATCGCATGTCATTAATCCCAGTAGCTTTGTTTTCAAAAGAAATAAAGTTACTCTTTTGCAAAAAAAAAAAAGTACAAATCTCATACGAATGAAGTGGTTTTATTTCTCTCTGTAATGTATCAGTTTCATTTCATAACATTAAAACACTAAAGAATGTCCTCTGCAGTATATCACTATACTGAGAATCTTTGTTCCTGAAGCAAATACCAAACTTCTTTGATACTCTAACTGATTTGAGAATCAGTTTCCTCCCGTCCCCAGATGCTGTTTAACTGTATGCTTTGCTCTTAATGAGGATTTTTTTGGTAAAGTACATCTTAGTGTAGAGTGTAGGGAAGATTTTGATGTGTGTACTAGATTTAATGTTTGTTTGGGGTTTTTAATTATTATTTTTAAAATGACACTTTTCAGTCAAAACCCTGCAAAAATCAGATTTTTAGATTTTTTTTTTCTCTTTTACGTGTGTATGTAAGAAAAGCATGGGTTAGCTTAAACTGTGTGGTTTTGTTTCTGTGAGCTGTAGCTTTTGATCAGAATGTCTAGTGAGAAAACCTTTCTGAATTAATTCCCTTCCTGAATCATTTTCTCCTCTTTTTCTTGTAGCTTCATAGTTGGGTTTGGTTTTCTGTGCCTTCTGTTTTAAATTATTTCAAGGTTATTTTTCTTTCCAGATATTGCATTCTAATTGTATGGTATTAATGGAGGATGAGTGAAAATAAACTTTCATTCTACTCATTGTAGTAACTCAAACTATTGTCTCTTTGCAAAAGATACCAGACTGGGTTTTAAGGTATTTTTATTTCCTGCTGTGATTTATCATACATTACAGTTAGTGAATGTACCAAAAGAGTCTGAGGGCATGCTCATCCCAGCAGGGTAGCATACCAGCTGTTTAACCAGTAATTCCACGCTGAGGAGTGTTTCTGAAGCAGAGGCGAGATGCGTGCCTTATGGTGCATTGCCACAAGCAGCATTTCCTTTCCCCCTCAGCACCAGCTGGTACCGATCAGCTGGAGGATGTTTTCACAGCATAGATTTGATGCAAGGAGACAGTCTTGCTGGAAACATGAGTTTTACAGCTGGAACTTGAGCCTCCTGGCAATCAGTTCCCCTCTCAGTCTCCTGCAGGCAAGTATGCTCTATCTTTAGATGTCCGTGAAGCTGGAATGCATCTAAAAGCAATTTCTTAATGATTAGCAGTAAAGCTACCCAGAACCTGGACTTTTAGTCCTTGCGGTAGTTAGTGGGTTACGAATAGATGAGTTCCTTTCAAACAAAACTATGCCTATGTACAGAAGAAACTGGACACGTCCACCAGTAGGCTATTAGCTCTTCTCGTAAGGTGGGAGCCAGATGATTAGAGTTTTGATTTACAGACAGATTAATGTATTCATTGTTGCAGGTGAAGGTGCACAAAACAGTTGTGTGAGGTGGTGGACCAAGTCATCTGTGTGCTGGAGCTTCATAGGAGTAACACCTTCCCCAGACAACCCTAGGCATCCTCAGTGAAGAATGTAAACCAGTTCATTCTGCTTCACAGCATGCCAGGGAAGTGAAATCTGAAGACTTTTAATTTGCTGCTCTAAACTTCCTATTTAGAGTAGGTAACAACAGAGGGGAAAATTTAGCATGACAAAAGAATTACAAATCCATTTATTTGTAAATGTCCTAATAGATCTGGGGTGGGTATAGTGAAAATCTAAGCCTGGTTCTCAGATACAGTGTGACCCAGATAATATCAGAAGCAAGGCAAGTTCCTTTTAGAGAGACTTAACCATTTACTTCTGAGGTAATTTTAATACATTGTGAACTAAGTTAGGAGATCCTGATGAGTTAAAAGAATGAGTATGCCAGGCAGGGCAGCATGTCTGATATTACATGTCTTGATAATACAGGGACCAAAATATAACACAAAGGAAGGTCACTGAATCAGTGAACATCCTTGTCCCAGTTGTTTCAGGCACCTTCTAGGCAAGCTTGCTTACCTAAAAAGCAGATCTCCCCCAACACATAGAAAAAGGAGAGACAGAAAATGATTTGCAGTGACCTCATCGCACCTGCCATAAACCTGTCCAGCTAGTGAAGAACAGTTCTTAGATTACGTGTTGCCCAGAGGGTGGAGAAAGCCTCAGACTTTATCCATCTGGGACAATTAAAATAACTTTATGTGGGTAAGAAAGCTTAATGTTAGCTAAATGTTGATGATGACCTCTTTGTTGCCATATGATGTGGTGGATGGGTCCCATGAATATTAGCAGTGCAATACGGATGCAATGCCCATGTCAATGATACATTGATATGATGGTGATGAACTCCCTTCCGTAGGGTGATGCCACCAACCCTCATAAATCACAGAGGCCTGAAAGTCCAGTCAAAGGAGCCTGCTCAGCATCAGCAGTGGCATTCACTGCGCCTGAAGCTGTTTTAGAAGGAGAGGGAATGTGTGTTTGGGGGTTGTTTTTGTTGTTAAACTCTGCTGATAAAGGCTGGCTGAAGGAATCTGTGCATTGCAAGCACAGCCAGGCACAAACAGCATGCTCCTCAGCAGGAACAGCCACGTTTGTTTTGCCAAAGGAGGTATGAGAGCAAACCATTCCCATTGCAGGAGGAGTACATGAAGATGGAAGAGATGAAAGAGGAGAGCCCCTTCTGTGACTCCTAGGGGCAAATATCACATCTAGGAGGGGTTACCCCTCTTCACCCTCCTTCCCAAGTAGTAGTACTTACCTTAAAGCACCTCAGCTCCCTTCCTGGACTTTTCCTGCCCTGCTTTAGCCACAGTGAGACCGTGGCTTGGATTTAGAGAGAAGAAACAGTGGCATTGTGGCTACTTTGCATTCCTCAGCAGCCTGCCATGGTGTTAAACACTAGCTTTGGCTTCACGGGAGTCAGAGGTTGTGGTCTCAGAAGTGACTCAGTCTTGGGCGTCTTGCAGAACAACCATCCCCACCTCTTCATCTGTAGCTGCCCCCATTCACGTCAACACATCAGGAGCACTCACTAACTCTGGTTTCAGAACTAGGCTTGCCTAATGCTGTGGATCCATAGCCCACAGGATAACCTCTGCTGTGTAGGGGTTTCATCCAGCAGCTCTGCTTTACCCCTGAAGCATAGTGTATGGTGGTGCAAAATCACCAGGCAGCAAGACCCAAAATGCCTTTCTTCTGCTCATAAACCATGCAGGTATTGAACCTCAGCCAGCCTCAGACTGTCCCACAAGCCCTTTCTTAGTGAGCAGCTGCACTAAGGGCAAACGAACCGGGTCTATAGTTTGGCCCCAGCTTTTTATGGTGATGAATGAAGTACACAATTAAGGAGCCCATTTGGTATTTTGATCTGGGACAAATCGAAGTGCTGGTGGCTTTGCTCCCAGGTTTTGCTATAAAGCGATTGTGGAAAGCTACTGAAGAGAAGCATTTTAATCAGATTAGGATAGATAAAGAGTATAACCCCTTGGTTATACAATTGAGCTTTCTAATCATATTAAACTTTAATACTGGCATCAGTGCCATATTGGAACAACAATCGCAAAAAGCTACAAGCATAAAATATTACAGATCCTTAAACATATTATGAAATGTCATCCACTGAGGTTAAAAAATGTTACCGTGTTTGGGGAAATGTGCCAGCTAAAAAAAAAATAGACCGAACTGGGAGCCCGGAGTCCTGTGTCCATGTGCAGATTAAATGCAGCACAGCAGAGGCAAGGCTTGACCTTTCTGTTTCTTACATTTTTATTCATTAAATTGCTTCCCCAACAGCTACTTCTGCCACCACTATTACCCATCTTAGTCCTCATCCACCAGCATGCTAAGTACACTCCACTCTTTTTGCAATCAATTAAAGGGTCCCTTGTTGTGAGGAACAGCAAGAGGTAGCTCCTCTTTACTGGTGAAGCAGCCCTGGGTAGAAACAGCTTCAGCTCTCACCCCTCTGCTGCTGCAGCCACTGCTCAGCATCCATCAGTGCTTAATGTAGGAGAGGACTGAAGCCAAGAGCCAAAGGAAAGGGGCTGTTAATGCACATCAAATACCTGATTTAAGTGGGCTGGTCTCGTGACATCTGTGTCTCCACTGATCTGAGTTACCTCAGTGAGTCAGGCTTGCAAGTACAAAGGACCTTGCTTGGGAACGGTGGCCTTGCACTGCCAGCAGCTGCAGGTCCTGAGGTACGCCTCAGAGCTGCAGCAGCCTTGGATCCCAGCAGGGTTCACGGCTGGCCCTCCTTGAGTGAAACGGGCAAGCAGTAACTCAGACACAAAGGTTTTCCTTTCTTCCCCCTCTAAGCTCTTCCCACAGGCATGCCAGAGGTGTTACATCCATCCTGTTTTGGTTGAATAGAGTCAAGGTAGGAAAGACCTTGACTTTAGACCACGTGTTCCCTTCTGTCTGTGAGCACGGCTGGCAGCTTTTCACGGGGTCATGTCCATGGGGGCAAGCTGGGACAGGCCAGGAGCCTCCATGCTGCTTCAGCCCTCATCCTGCCCAGGGGTCCTGGGGCAGCAGTCCAGCTGTAGGAGGTTGTCCTCTGCCCTTGGGGTGGAATTTTATTCAGCCCTCAGAGTCTTTATCACCCTTAAACAGCATTTACACTTAGATTTTAGTCCCCAAGCTTTCCACTGCTTTTCTGTATGTTCCATGTCCAACATCCTACTGCAGTGATGCCCTTATGCCCCCTTAAGTGTTGCTTTTCTCAAGGCAGCTTTCAGTCACTAATGCTTCCTCCAGACTTCATGTCTCTCTGCTGTAGCATCCTGTAGCCCACAGTCTGTGACGTGGGGAGGCGTAAGGGGTACTTTGAGTTTTCCATTGCTGCCAGCACCGTTGGCACCTGGGGTGCAGCCTGACACTGGAACAGCTGCTGCGTTTGCAGCTCCCCACTGCAGGAAGCATCACACTGTGTCCCAGAGAGTGCCCACCCAGCACCCCAGAGACTGGCAGCCCCAAGGTGATGGGAGGGAACTGCTCTCTAACAGCCTGGGAAGTTTGGCTCTTTGTGATTGACGCCCTGGTAATTATGCACCTTATGAAGATATGCGATGTAATCAGACCCTTCTAAAAAGGCCTTGGATTAAAAGCTTTTCCTGGGTCTTTGGTGATGGGCCTGCAATTACAGAAAATGAACTGCATTTTAGCTTCCCACTGAAATTAATAACAGTGGTTCTCCAGTTGACTCCGAAAGTAGTTAATGGAACAAACTGGATGCTCACTACAATATCAGTTTTAAAGCTATTTGAGAGAGATTCTGTGTTTCAAATAGGAAAATAATTCACACAATGCACAACCATTTTGTTCACATCTTTGGAAATAATGGCTCTGTGTAACTTTGAGATGTAACTGTTTATCAATAATGATTTCAATGTGCTGTTCCATCCCTCGCTGCAGCTGGGGGGGAATGACCTGTGGAGAACTTTGGAAAAAGAAAAACAAGCCCAGGAACTAATGGTGCAGAAAAGAGCTCCAGCCTGGCCTGAGCAGCACGAATGGGTTTTACCATGAATGCTGAAATACAGATTCGTGTGAGTTCATGCAGGGCAGAGCAGCAGATACGCCAAGACTTGTTGAATTTCAGCTGCTCAATCTCCAACTCATCTCAGCTGAACTGAACCTGTAGTAAAGTTTGGAGTGTTGCCGGTGGGTTGCAACCCATCTCATGGAGAGAGCAGCCAGCCCCTGTCCTACATCCCAGTTAACCTGCCCCACAGACGGGGGTAAAATAGCTCACATCTTCTGCTT